TGTGGGATCCGAACCGGGGCCCTGCTGCTCAGAGCTGACATCCCAAGCCAACTCCTAACCAACACACCACTTGTCCGGCCCCAGTCATTCTTATTTTAAATGCTCATATTATTCCATCCTAACCTAATGAAAACCCCTTAGTGGTATTTTTTATTCTTCATGATTTTTGCTTTTAGTGTTCTCACTCCTAAGAGAATATATATGTTTCCTTGAGGTCTGATTTATGTCAGGTCTTCAGTTTGTGTGAAATTAATTTTGGTGAACAGGGAGAGTGAAACAATTTTTGTGCTCTCCCAAAATAATGAGTGCTCCAGAATCACTTACTGAGTAACCCACCAGTTACTGAGTTCTTAGATGATTATTACTTATATATGTATTTTATTTAATCCTCACAACAACCCCGTGAAATAGCAATCATCATCCCTTTATTACTGACAAGAATTACCCATTGTCACTTCCCAATAAACAGGGGAAGCAGGATGGGAAGTCAAGTCTGGCAGGAAAAGCCCACACTCCTCGCCATTGCTCTAGCCTTCTTATATATGAGTAAAAGAACATTTTTAGGTGTTTTAATTTTCAGCCAAAACTTAAACACATTATTTTCTTCCATTTTATAACACGTTTATGTACCGTATTTCCCCATGTATAAGACACACTTTTTCAAAAAATTTGGGATCTAAAAACTGGATGCGTCTTATACAGCGGTTGTAGATTTTTTTTACTTGCATTTCCCGCTTTTCTCGCGCTTGTTTTTGCGCTCATACAACCACTGTATAAGATGCACCCAGTTTTCAGACTCCAAAATTTTCAAAACAGGGTGTGTCTTATACATGGGGAAATACGGTAGCTAGATTTTTTTTTTTTTTTTTTAAACTTTTGCCACTGAGAACTCTTAGGCATGTGGAAAGACCTTATCCTGTGACTTGATGGTTTGGGGACCATTTTTCAGAAACTTACCCACACATAGTTGTTATTACAACTTAATACAAAGATATACAGAAATGCACAGTGTCTGGACAAATAGTAGTTTCTCAACAAAACTTAGTTCTTTCTTTCTTAAGGGAGTTAATATGTCAACGAAATTGTAACAACCAATCCAACCTTGAAACACATAGGCAAGGCTAAGTGAAATCTTTTAATTCTAAAATACATGGCAACAGGCCAAATCTCACTTAGTAGCAACATGCTAACACCCAACCTGTGAGGTAGACACTCTCATTATCCCTAGTTTACAGATGAGGAAGGAAACTGAACCACTGAGTAGTCAAACCTGGAAGACTTTTAAATGCTTGTCACTTTCACGTTGAAGCTATAATTGTCCTAGTGGAATAATAAACATTTCTACTGATAAAGTTGATTCCTATAGCATTGGGGTTCACAAAATGGTGGCTACCACAGTAGCCCCATCCATGTCACAAAACTAAACCTAAGTCAGCCTGTATTTACAGGAAGCACCTATCAAGGAAACCTAACACACACCAACCACAATCCTCCAAGACATATTTAGCTAGCTTACCTTACCCTAGGAGAACAGAACCTGCCAGCCTTACAAGGAAATCCCTAACTTCGCAGACAATCATGCCCTGTTTTGTCAGCTGCTGCTTCTAATGCTCTATAGAACTCGCTCTTGGGGACGGCCGGTTAGCTCAGTTGGTTAGAGCGCAGTGCTCATAACATCAAGGTTGCCGGTTCGATCCCCACATGGGGCAATGAGTTGCGTCCTCCACAACTAGATTGAAACAACTGCTTGACTTGGA